GGTCGTCAAATCTCCTGATGAGGGCATATACCAGTAGCATTGGGCTCATTGCGACGCGGCCCGGAGATGGAGATGCGTAACCAACAGCATAAGGACGTGCCTGAGCGCATATTAACAAGTACCCAAGGTATACGAAGTGCCTCAGCGTTGCAGATTTCAGAACCGTACTGTATACTGCAGTTGTTGCGTCCAACATACATGAGGTATGTACGGATACTCCTCACGATAATGGCCATCGCTAAAGAAATACCACCGAGCCATCCCAAGAACCCATGGCCCGGGGCCCACTCCCGGGCCAGAGTCTGACCAACCCGTCTGATTCGCCCATCCGACTCGTAACTGGTCAGCCCGGGAAAGGGACAGAGGCTCTAGCGCCATTGCGGTGACGGACCCCGGCCTGCCTGGCGCCTCTTTGCAGCGCTTTGCAGCAGGCATTTTGGGGGATCGCCAGAGAACCGACCTGCTACCTTGTCTGAATCCGGACAAGACGTCCGCGCGCGAGTCAAGGCTAGTCAAGGCTGGTGGCTGTTGTCTAGGTCGCTAATCAAATGCAACAGCAGGCGTCCTGCAGCGTTCGAGCCAGGGTTCGTTGCAATGGAAGAGCACAGAGCTTTTTTTTTTTTTTTTTTTTTTTTTTTCTTCAACTGCTACTCTGTGTTGGTCGCGATCCCGCTGCAGATATCCCGTAATAGACTAATAATGTATCAAATTGAGCCATTATGCCTGGTATTAGCTCTAGTAGCTTTTCGGGAGTGACTTGCGAGGTCGTATTACTCCGGCCGAAACAATTCAAGCGTAGCTCCAAACAGAGATGCTGCAGGTTTGATTAGGCTTTGATGCTTCTGCATCATGTAATCCTATTGCCTATTTTTCCATTTTTACGGAGTACTGATTAATTATTTTTATTTTCTTTTATCTGTTGCTTTCTTTCTCTTCTGACCAGTCTCAATCTGTCGAGGGGCCACTGGAAAGGGGGCTGCAGAGATCTGTCCCCAGTTGGGCCACGAACGCTGTGGAGCTGGGAAACGCACATGAAATTTGCTCCATATTACCTGCAACATACCAGATTTCGAAAGGCTGCTGCTTTTGTTGCCTCCCAGCATATCGTCATTTTGGACTGGGCAAGGAGTCTGATTGCGGGACGAACAATGGGATAATCAAGAAAGGAGTTTTTGCCTCAACTGTAAAAGCTTTGCTAGGATCTAGACTTGTGCAGCAGGATTCCGTCACACGCCCCCCCATCTACTGGTATTAACAATCAGCGGATCCTCGGGAGACAGCAGTTGCACATCTTCCCTCGAGACGACGGAGAAAAAAAACAGAGCGAGGTCCGGATGGGCGGCTCTCCAGCCGTGACTGGCTGCCGTGATCCACGTAAATAGTGTGTAGGTACAGGTACATGCAATAGGCTAGACTTGTAGCGCATCAGTAGGTACCTGTAGAGGCCTGAATCAAGCAAGACAGTTCCCTCAATGTCTTGGAACCCCCTCACCTTCTCCTCACGCAAGCTTCATCTGACCTACGACTTGCTACTGCATTCGTGCAGCGCATTGTCTATCTTTGCCACCGCCAATCTTCTTTGTCTCAACTCCATCTCTCTTTTTTGCCTGCAATCCTTTTTTCGACTCAATGGCCACCCGGTCGACGACCCAAAGCCCGTCTCTCCATTTCCGTCGGCCTAGAACAAGCCAAGAAACTCAAGGCCCCAGGTCCAAGTCAGAGGCGGCTTCTCACTCGAGTCCGTTGGAAGCCTTAGCATCTTGGCAGATCATACCATGCTCCGCTCAGGCGCCGCCTACGAAGTTCAACGAAAGCCGCAATGCGAGCGGTAAAGAATTGGAGAAATCTCCGTGTACACTGGTGCATACTACACTTGGTCAGCCACCGTGACTCCGCGCGCAGTGTTGGGTAGGGCTGGCGGTGGCTATGTCAGCGTTCCCCTGGTGCGAAGCCCGGTCCATCCTCGCCCCTCGATCACACGATGTCATCAATCCAGTTCGGACACAGTCGAAGAATCGAACCATGTGGCTTAAGCGGCTGCGCTGGGTCAAAAACACGAGCAGTCTTTGGCCCAAAGAGGTGCCTTACTCGTGAATTATCTGCTGACAAAAACAGCCACCCGCCAACGACCAACGATTGCGAATACGGAAACAAACACGCTCATCAAGTCCCGCTTACGGCAGCCAGCTGTCATTTGTCTTCGTGACTTGTTTAGTTTTTGCGGTCAAACTCTCCATCAGGGTAGAACTTGACGTTGGGGAGGGCACCATCGCAGATCCGCCAACCTGCCAGATCCAGATCAACCAGGCTACTGTGAAAGAGCCGCCTCTTGTTTTCTTGACATGAAAGGGCTAACATTACTTATTCAGAAATACGATGTCATGGATCCCCAGATTCCCCCGCAGATGGCAGTCGGCTATCAATCTAGCGCATTGCGACCTAAGCATCTTATTCCCCCAGAAAGCTCGGCGTTCGGGATCTTTCAATCTGAAAGATTTCATCTCCAAAACCCGCTTCCCCAGCATTTCATGCTCCCCGCACGAAACCATCAGCTACTGAAGCTCCATACGGGGTACCGTAGTTTAGATTTGCTACTTTTGCTACCCGCAATAAGACCCAGGCAAATGGTTTTGCCGATGGAGTTAAGTTGGGGTCGGCTGAGCGGGAAATGGCCTGTTCATCGAACTATGCTAGCCAAAACGTGGGGTTTTGGGCACCCTCATACGACTACGATCAAAAATTGCTTTCCCCAGGTAGATTCAAAGCCAAGACTGCTCTAGGGCTGTTCCAAAAAGCCACTGCCAAGTGCCAGCCAGAGGTCCAAATAATTTCCGATGCTCAGGCTAATCCAGCCACATTTTTTGATATCGGTACATGCCGCGTTGGAGAACAGATCTAAAAGCACCGCCATTTTTTACACTGAAGATGACGGTTTTGGCGATTATTTGCGTCTTGAATCTTCAAACGTGCATCCAGCCTGCATGCTGAGCACAGTCGAGAGATGCCGTTATCCGGTCGGGAGCCAAAATATGTTTCCGAGGCGCATGTGAGTCGCGGGGTCTGATGACACTGCCTTTGCGTGGACAGGGCTCCATGTCTCTCGCTCGCTCGCTCGCGCATCGATACCTCGCTCCAATGTGATGGACCATCACCGCCGAGCGGAGCAGTGGCGGCGGTGTTTGTTTAGTCTTCCAGCCCGGTGATGTTCTACTGTCGCAGCTACCCCAAAAATTATGACGACGATGATGCAAAAGAGTTAGTGTTCCTGGATGGCAGAGTTGGCTCTTATATGGCGTACTAAATGTCGCTGCTCCCTTAGGCCGAGCGGCGTGGACCTCGGTTATGACTCGACTCACTAGTTTCAAGAGCAGCGCCCATTGTCCTACCCTGTAGCGCGTCGCTCGGGTGCGCCGGTTGTAAGCATTGTGAACTATTTGCTCCAAGACTGTGGCTCGTGTGTTAGAATGCGTCGTTGCCTTCACCGTAACTTTTTCTCCGGGCCAAGAAATCTTCTTGCGGGCATCAGTAGTAGGGATGTCGTGTAAGATGTGACCGGGCCTACGGACCTTTTAGCGCCCGCTACAGGGTAAGTCTAGACTACTTGGCAAAAAGCAAGGCAATTCTTTCTCCCGCTGGCATTCAAGATAACATGGCCAATAAAGAATTTAGCTTTGAGTTACATTCGAGGCAACTTGCATACCGTATTATGCAGTAATATATTTATATAATTAAACTACGTTGACAGAGTTTTGTTGCATTCGGGAGCTGGCAGCCACTGCGACAGTGACACCAGCCCGATAGTACGGGTCGTGATACCATTCAGTCCCACCAAAAACACTACCCCCTCAATATCAAGAAGCGCGGATAGAACACACTCCGAAAAAATGTTACCTAAGGTGTGAATGAACAATTTAGCTAGCACTATCATTAGTGATAAAGATGCAAATCACATTCGGCACACTTACCCCGACAGTTGCATCACCTCCAGACTTTGGGGGCCGATCTCCCCTCACTCTCCTCACCCTTAGCCTGGACACTGCCACACCCACGACAAATATAGATTGAAGCTGTCATGTATCATGGACTGACCCCTCACATATTGATAGTAAACAGAATCAGTGCTTACGAGGATGACTTGAAGTGCTCCATAGTACGGAGAGAACAAGAATCCCGGATATCTGAGTTATGACTTACTATTCTAAATGAGAGAGTACATTGTCTTGCTTCGACAAGAGACGGCATTTCCCATGTCTCATAAAGGCAAATCACTGAAACTCTTCCCTTTCTTCTTCTTCTTCTTCTTCTCTATGATGTCTTGAAAATAAGCCTCCCTGTGTATCAGTATCCCTTGTCTCCGAAGGATAGAGCAAAAAAAATAAAACTTTGAATAGATACCTCCTCCAAGTTTTCAACTTTACTGCCGCTTCTAAAATTTGCCAACATATTCACAAACATCACTAGGGAAGTAATAACTGTGGTCTTGGGTAATAAATGACTTGCCTCGACTCAAAGGTGTCGTTCACCCAACAGCTAGCACCCACCCCAAAGACAACATAGAGCGTGACAAATACCAGCCATAGTTTCTATCTCGTCAAGTTTGTCTCTTTATTAAAGCATAGTATACTAGTAAAGTCTATATCAGAAAGTGAGTCCTTTCAGTTCTTCTGTATATTAAACTCTCTCGTAGTTAAAAACCATAAGAACCACACGGTGGGATTCATCACCAAATATATTGTTGTTCTGCAAGCACTGTAATTTCACCAAAATCGTGTTCATGTGATTAGATAGAGTAAGCCTATTATATGCCACCATCTATGATACTATATGTGCCATGTTTTCCTCCAAATTTATAATCACCCAAAAAAAAAAAAAACAACACTGGCAAATAATGAAGCACAAAAGGTCTCCCGTCTCAAATTTCCGACCATCTCCGTAAACTATAGGTACTAATCAATAACTGGCGCAAATGCACCCGAGTTGTGATAGTAGTCATCGATGGGTTATGCAACAGCGTAAAGACGTTGGCCATCTGTCCTTTCTCTGCCACCCCTCAGATTTGACAAGGGCCGAAACATGAAGCTCCCAGTAGGATTCTCAGATGGCTCTTGAGAAGATTCAACTTTGTTTGAGCACAGGAAAACGTCGATAGCCCAGCTGCCGCCACAAAGCTCAGTCGACTGGCCTTGGCAAGGTTTTCCACATTGAGATTCGGGAAGTCGCACTGCATCATCTCGAATAGATGACCCGCACCAACACTCTCTTCCGTTCTCTGTTCCAGCAAGCTTGTATCCACCAGAGGTACAGTGATCAATACATTCTTCCGATGACACATCTCCTTGTAGATAGTCAACGGGCTTGGCGCCAAGCAATATTCGAGAGATTGCATCTTGAAAACATCCCAGATAGCTCCAACCTGTCGGAAGGTTATCATATTTGGGCGTCTTTGTTGGAGCTGCATCGCTACTTTTGCTTGGGCTTCCTGTTTCCTTGGAAGAATGTTTCGCTATAGAGCTTGAAGGATACTTTGGACTAGATGCTTCTGTCAGTTCGCAGAACCAGCCCTCTGAACAATGGTAGCACGGCCATCCAAGCCCACACGGTACAACTTGGGCCGGCGTTTCCTGTGGAGGGCAGAACCATCCATCAAGACATTCGTCACATCTGAAGCCCCTTCCAGGGCAAGGTCCTATCGAAGGATCAGGCGGTTGGTGGACACTTGGACTTTCAGTCTTATCACAAGATGGGCAAGTTGGACATTCTTCGTTTTCATCATCTGTTGGCGGTGGATTGCTCGTTTTGGTGGGACTGTCATTTGTTGGAGTAGATGGCGGAGTTGGGTCTAGGGGCGATGCTTGATTCTTTGAAGATGAATAAGGCTTAGGGGCTGCTGGTGTGGTGACATCTTCGGGATCAGAAGTTTTGGTAGCCGATTCAGGCAAACCAGGGGTAGCTAGTGTTGTGATTTGGCTGACTGAAGTAAGAGACCCGGTTTCAACCTTATCACAAGGTATCACTTCCTCAAAAGAAGTTCCATCCACGACCTGATCAACAGCGCAAAGAGGCTTGTCCAAGTAGCCAGCAACAGCGCTCACAATCAATGCCAATTCATTGACGACTGCTAGGAGAGCCGGATCCGTGATATCTTCCAAGGCTCTGCTGAGATCATTGATGACCGTTGTTCCTTGGTCAAGGACCTTGTTTAAGGTTTCTACCATATCCAGTTCGGAGGTAGAGGTTGGTTCATGGCCTTGGCAACAGCAGGTATGACAAAGGGGAGTAAATCGGAAGCTGAAACAGAAGCTTCATTTGCTACCTTTGGTATGGCTGCAGCAACAGCGGACGAATCCACATGAAGAGCATCCAGAACAGTATCTGTGAGCTTGGCAGCTGCTGCGGGGTCGATGCCTGATACTTCAGCAACAATTTTTGATAATTCGCCCAGAAAAGAAGGATTAGTGGAAGAGTCTGTTGGAAGCTTCTCTGTGGCTGCTCTCGCGTTGTGGATTCGTAGTTTCAAGGTGTCTCCCCAGAAGCCGCCAAGGGACCCGACCGCAGGCGTTGGCAGATTTTGTGTAGAGCTTGAACGTGATGTCTGGAGAAGGGGAGGAAGCGAAGAGATTTCTGACAGTACCAATGCGTTTGACTGACCCCCAATCATATCGGACAAAACGTTCTTCTGACGATGTTTCGCCGCAGACGTTGACGGTTGATTCGATTCCACGAATGCCTCTTTTACCGCATCTGCCAATGATTCTAGCAGTGAATTGACATTGATAAGAGAAGCTTTTGATTCGCTGATTTCTGTCGTTTCAGGCAGACTGCTTATAGTTGTGGCAGCCTCTGTCACACGGATTGTCGTAGATAGGGAGGCAGCGGGGTCTTGATTTGTGGTGTGCACCGCAGGCAAAGTTCTGGCGGTTGAAGTATCGACTGCCTTTTGGTTATTTAGTAAATGAGTGCCATAAACAATCATTATTAGATAGATAGTTGGTGCGAAATAGGAATGGGATTGCTCTTACCTCTCGAAACATGCCTCCTAAAAACCCGCCCAGCTGAAACTGTCGCTCAGCGAGAGCCCGTCGTTCAAGACTCGCCGTCTCGATTGTAGCAACTCCGACAAAGCAGATTACAGAAATGGCGAAGAAGATCAAGCTTGTGATTATTAGGCCTCGTCGATGGATAAGTAGAAGCCTTCGCGGCGGCCACTTGGGACCGCTGCCTTGGTGTTGCTGATTCACCATCTCCTGAGAGGCTCTTGTGATGAATCCGTCGAAAGAGTAGTAGAATGCTTCAAAAAGAGCAACAAAAAAAGAGGACTCCAAAAAGAGGCTCCAAAAATTGTTCGTAATGGAACGCAGACCAAGTGAAGTAGAGGAGGGCTGGAGATGGAGGAGAGAATTGCAATGGAAGAGAAAGGATATGAGTAATAGATCAGCATCGCTAACATCGAGTAGCTCTTTCTTATTCGAACCAGGAGGTCCCGTTTGAGCCAAGCTTAGCCTCTGAAAGCACCTGCCAAATGACGAAGTGGAAGCTCTGGAGAAGGAACAATGAAGGAAGGGGGCTCATAGCGCACCTCGCTGTTGCGTTTCTAGTTCATCTCAATTCAGTGCATCTTTTTGTTCAAAATTGGTTGGAAAAATGCGTGCTAACTATTCATTCTAGCAGTCTAGGCAGAAGATAACCTCTAATTAGGAGATTCCTATATAACCTTGCTCTTTTGGCGCACGCATCTGATTTTAAGAACTACAGACATCATTGCCTCTTTTACTCGGCGCCTCGACGTTTTCACAATACAGATAATGTTTCGTTGAAGGAAATTGAGATGCGACGAGGCGGCAGTATTGTGAGATGCTTCATGTTGAGATGACGCTGTCTAAATAGCATCAGCAAGTGAGAATGACCTACTGATATAGATCTGAAAGCCAAGCCAAGACGTTAATGTTGTGAGCTGGATCGACAAACACAAGCACCTGCTTAGCGGCGATTCTGCGCCACAATGCTCTTCTAGGCGGCTGAAGCGCCCTGACCGCGCCGCTGGGGTCAAGTTTTTGGTGGGGTGGAGGGGCAGCCGCGCATGGGCCGCTGCTTAATTCGCCAGTTCAAAAAAATTTCTGGACAAGGCTGGCACTTTTTTTTTTCTTGCAGCATCATTTTGTCTTTGCGCAGCTTGGGCAGATTTTGCTGTCGGAATACGCGTCAGACGCTGGCACTTGATTCAATCGCCCTGGAAAGACGACGGCGAATTGAACCTGTCGCCGTTATGGATATCCACCGCTGTCGGTTTGTGCCCTATAGGCCCTCGGCCGTCAATGCGGTAGCCTTCTCGCACCCCAAGACCAAGTCCGCAAAGCAAGGCTCTGTGGCGCGGTTGGCCGTTGGACGAGCAAACGGCGATATTGAGATATGGAACCCTTCAAGCGGTGCATGGCACCAAGAGCTTGTCATTCGTGGTGGCCGGGATCGCAGCATTGACGGCCTTGTCTGGGTCAACGAGCCGGATCAGGACCTTGGCGATGGCAAGATTGCCGTGGGCAAATCGCGCCTCTTCAGCATTGGATACACGTCCACGGTGACCGAGTGGGATCTCGAAAAAGGAAAGCCCAAGCGACATGCGAGCGGGCAGCACGGCGACATCTGGTGCCTCGCCGTTCAGCCTCCGGCCCTGAGCGGTGCCTCGGATGACCTTCACTCCAACAAGCTGATTGCTGGAACGATTGATGGCGAACTGGCCATGTACTCGATCGAGGATGATGATCTCCGCTTCCAACGAGTTGTTGTTCGATCCCCCGCGAAGAAGGCGCAGATGGTCAGCATCACGTTCCAGTCACGCAAGATTGCTGTTGTGGGCTGCTCGGATAGCACCATTCGAATCTACGATGTTACAAAGGGACACATGCTCCGCCATATGACGCTGGGCGCGGATCTGGCTGGAGGCGCGAAAGATATCATTGTGTGGTCGGTCAAGTGCCTGCCCAACGGTAATATTGTGTCGGCCGACTCAACAGGCCAAGTCTGCATCTGGGATGGCAGGACCTACACCCAATCTCAGAGACTGCAGAGCCACAAACAGGATGTCCTCAGTCTCGCGATTAGTGCTGATGGATCGGCAATCATCAGTGGTGGAATGGACCGCCGTACCGTTCTCTACAAGCAAAATACTGGACCGGGCAACCGCTGGTCCAAGGTTTGGGGACGAAGATATCACGATCACGATGTCAAGACTATAGCATCATTTGAGAATGGCCGCACAAGCGTCGTGGTAACTGGAGGTGAGATGATTTTGTCCTGAAAAACTCCTTGGTAACTGTGGACTAGCTAACATTTGATGAAGGACCTGATTCAAACCTCATGTTGGTCCCCCTGAGAGAGATGGGCCGCGAAAACCACCGAACGATTAGCAATCTTCCACAGCAGCCGCCCATCTTGAGCGCACAAAAGGCCAGATTTATCACTAGCTGGTGGGATAGAGAAGTTCACATCTGGGCTCTGCGAAAACCCGCCACAGAAATATTCAACCAGACTGGAGAGGATGAAGAAGACGAAGTTGACATCAACAAAAACCGCAAACTTCTGAAGACAATTGTAGTCAAGGGCGATTCCAATATCAGCTCTGCTACAATAAACCCAGAGGGAACCCTACTCATTGTGTCTACATCAATAGACATCAAAGCCTTCCGGCTGGAGCACCAGGACCCTGTCAAACCCTCCGACGTCAAGCTATCCGCCATTGAGCTCCCAGAGAAGCTGAGAAACGCTGGAGCCACACAGGTGCAGCTGTCACCTGATGGCAAATGGCTGTGCGCCATCAAAGAGGGCTCTCGTGTTATCATGGCTAGTCTCGAAGAGACTGACGAGCCTTTGCAGTTTACCACCGACTTGCAGCGTCTTCCCCGCCTCCGGCGCCATATTCCACGATACGTAAAGAATGGAGGATTAAGAAGCTACGAGAGGAATATTACTCACATCTCATTCACCGCTGACTCGAAGATGGTTGCGGTAGCCGATATTGCTGGTTACATCGACACCTGGGTATTACGTGGCCCGGATGAGAATTTGCAGGACAAGATCGAAGTGGATGGGGAAAATGACGCGGCACCATCATCTGAGAGCGAAAGCGACAGCGATAGTGACCAGTCGGATGACGAAGAGAGCCCAGCTAGCAGCGTCAAAGCCCGTTGGACTCGCAATCCAAGCGCAAACCAGCTGCCCAAGCTCCCATCGGCCCCCGTCGTTCTGTCATTCTCGGGATTTGTACCCAGTGAAGAGACGAGCGGAGTGGATGCCGTCAAAGATTACACCCTCGCGGTCGTTACAGCCTCGTGGAACGTGTTGACTTTCCATCCTCTCCAAGGCCTACTCACACCATGGTCACGCAGACACCCCCGGAAAGCCCTCCCAGCGGCCGTCCAGGACCTCCTAGACTTGGCTAAAGGTGCCATATGGCAGGGATCCCGCCTTTGGATCTACGGTATTTCGTTTCTGCTGATGCTTGACATTGCTCAAGACTTGCCGAAACCTGTCTCGGAGAGTGATGCTGTCGTCAGCCAAGGAGCTCAGCCCGGCATGAAACGCAAGCGAACCGGCCACACCAGTGGTGCTGGAAGCAAGATGACCCGTGAAAACCTCGCACCGCACCGTATTGGAAAATATGTAGACGGACAGTGGGTGAATATCGACGTGGATACTGCCTCTCCCCATGAAGATGGCAGTGACAGTGGCGACGACATGCCTGACGCTCCCGATGGTGACTTGGCGCAACTTCGCAACCCTAGCAGCAACAGCAACAGCGCAGGGGATCTTGAAACCGAGACTGACCGCAAGAGCTGGTGGATAACCTACAAGTACCGCCCCGTCCTTGGTATCGTATCCCTCAACGCTGCGGACCAGCCTTTGGAGGTCGCACTAGTGGAGAGACCTACATGGGATGTGGAGAAGCCCGAAAGATATTATGCTGGAGAGGAATGGGAGAGGTGAAAAATTCTCTCATCTTGTCTTGTAATGGTAGGAGGATGTTGCGGTTAAGAAAAAAAGGAAGATGGCCGAGCAATGTGGCTGGCGGAAGGATTTCTTTTTGGGTACTGCGTACATACATATAAGAGAGGTTTTAGAGCTAAGTATTATCTACCTGGCTGATATTTACAAAAGTGCCAGCTGCGGCCTGTAGCATATAGGAAGGAGTTGAAATGTTAATTCATCGTTGTCATCCAAAAACTGTTTTTTCCTTCCTCAAGGAATGAGTTGTTACGTACTTGGAGTGCAATAGGCATGTGAACTTGGTTTGGTGGAGCCTTTTTGGGATTCTGGTAACGATGGATGAACGCTTCAATCTGCACAAACGAGCATTTTGAAACATAAACTTAACGAATACGCCTATAGGCACCTTATTGAAACAAGACTAGCAACATTGGATGAAAAATGATTAATATTTGGCGGAGTAGCTGCGGAGTGTTTCCACGCTCAAAAACCTCTTTGTACGGCATAAAGCACTAGCCACATGAACACGTCACAACGAAAGATTTGACAAATCCCTGGGCTTAAACGAAATGGGGAAACAAATCGAGACGCTTTGATTTGATCCTAGACGAAAAAACGTATGTCTGCGAGTGAGACGACGACGACTACGACTACGACATCTGGGTAAGGCAGGGGGGGCGAGAGATCCAGTTTAACGCGCGTCCCCTTGATATTATTCTCTCTTCCCACGCCCATGGCCAAGGCTGTTCTAGCCCTTTGGTAGCCTTGTCATGTAATGTAATGGGTACGACTGCATGTGCTCTAATTAATGCTAGTTAGAATGGACCGGTGCCGGTTCGGGCGTCATATGAGCGAAGCAGTGTGGAGTGCGTTGGGTATTGAACGGCATCTCGTGGACTGGGCAAACGCGGAACATGCTATTTATTGTAATGGTGCCAATGAAATTTCGGGCTTCTGTGCTCGCTTGTGCTATGATGAAGTTTGATTAACGTGGTCTCGAATCATGGGCATGTCTGAGATGCCGTATATGTGATGGTTGTCGAGGATAGCTGGAGTGAGCGTATTAGAGTCGTACTGCACAGTACTAATAACAGTAGTACATCCATCTGGATGTCTTAAATCAGCAGGTAGCAAAATCCCATTTGAAAAGAGGGTGCAGGAGCTTAGGTTGTGAGCCATCGTAGCCGTACATGTCAGCGTTCGTTTGTACGAATATATGTGTGCCATATTAGTAACCTCCCCCCCCCCAATCCAAGGACCTTAT